TAAATGTTGTTGAAATGAAATGAAATGAGATACAAATTTTTGAATATTTAAATTAAATATTCAAATATTTAAATATTCAAAATCTGTATCTCATTAACCGCCAAGTTTTTCGTCAAATATGCTTTCTGTGTCTTAGAAAAATGCGTTATACAACATAGCAAAACAATGTTTCCTCTCCGGAGCCTGTCTATAAATGGTTATATGGATGGGCGAATGGATTTTTGAGTAGATGAAAGATAGAATGAACGAACGAATGAATGAATAAACGAATGATGAATGAATTATTGGTAAACGTGATTGAGTTAATGAATGAATGAATGTGTTAACGGTTAATTCAGGTGTACGGAAACATGGCCTACGTATTAATTGTTTTAATTAAATTTCTTTGTTTCGTTTTTCGTGAGGATTATGTTTCAATTGCAGCTACAACGTTAAATAGCTTTTGCGTTCCAAAAGTTAATCCGAAGGTCAAGCGTCAAAGACATTGATACGAGTGAAGGCATCATAATTAAAAGTTGTCATCGTCGATCTATATTTAAATTTAAGGTTTAAAAATGCCATGACACATTTGTTCCCATTGTTATGTTTCGCTGTCTAATCTTATTAGTTTGTTAAATAATTTAATTATAATGTTCTTAACAGGGAATGAAAAGAGGATTTCCATCACCGAATTAGTTGCTTTGGGCGGATGAAACTTCGGCAATGAAAACAATTAATTATTGTATCTAATTTAATACGAATTTTTGAACACTATTCTATTCTGTTTTACCATGGGGGTATATATTTGTTGAATATGAGTATAACGTATAATGGAACAATCTACAAAGCAAATCTTAAACACAAATTTATGAGACTTTGACATTTGAGAGCCGACACAGAAGTAAAAATAAAATCCGGAAAAAAAACTACCAAATAGTTGGTCCAAACTTAATGTGGTCTTAATCATAAACAATTTGTGGTCTTATTCCAGTAAACTACCACTAGTTATATAAGCCAGGGCACCGTCTTTCGCTGCGGCATTCTAGGCCCCAAACCTACGCTCCTTTTAACTCAACATACTGAAGACCAGTTACGGTACCGTAATTCGTTTTTGTTATTCCCGTACAAATAATCTTAGATCATTTACGATCGTTTATAGTACAGCAATTGGAAAACATAAGGGTTTTATCTCCTACGCCTGAATTGTTGATTTAACTGAATTCTTCAAACGTTGCATTTTACAAAAATCAAACCTGACGTGCATGCATACATATGTTACAGTACGGAATCATGAAATCCTTTTATCAAATCAGTTTCCATATAGATCAAGCATTTCGAAGACGGCCTAGTGTTTCAAATTTCAAAATGTCTAAAAACAATTTCCAACCAGTAAAAAATTACAGATTTACAAATATTAGTTTTATTAACGCTTTGTTTTTCTTTTTCTTCCGGGTACTTTACATAAATAACAACGCATTCGTGAGGCAACACAGGAACACATTTTAACACTCAATGCAGAACAAAAAGAAAAAAAAAAAAAATTTAAAATTGGGCGACGTGTGGGCAATAGTAAATGCAACAGGAATGTAAAAATCATCTTTAAATACATTATGTACCATTAGCCAGGGGATCATGGTGCTTAACGATAAGAATTAGTTTAGGTCCTGATGCATTCAGAAGTGCGATTAGTTAAAAAGTGTGGAAGGAATGGCTTGTGACAGGTGACGAAACTACCTTCCGTTGGTACCCGGGAACAAATTGGGTCTAATGATTGACATTTCCATTTGATTTCAGATCAATTATACGTAATTAATCACTAAGATTTTACATGATTTAATTACTCTTTAGAATTCAAACTGTCAAGCAACTCTGACGAATAAATCTGACAGACATCTTTATAATGCCGTAGAAAATACGAGCGTACAGGTTGGTGTACGCGCAACCTCGCAGCGCGCACAGATAGGTGTACGAGCTGCCTCGTAGCCACTCAAGAATGCACCGCTAATGATGTTTATATTGTAACCTGCCCCTATAATCCATAGAGGATCGAAATTAATGAAGACGGCTCGAGCGCGGAACGCAACCATTCGAATCATAAACGTCACAATCTACAACATATTAATTATTTTCTTTTAGTGGAAGCATTCTAATCAAAGAATGCATTCTCGTTTCTGTGTGACTTACTGTACAACTTAGTAAAATTCAATATTCTCGTTTATAAAAAATTGCATTTAGGCCTATTACTAATACTAACACCATCATCGAACACTTCCATTATTGTAATTGTGGTGTTTGAAAATGTGTACAATACACCAGCCGACGATTTCAAGGCCTGTCCACACTATCACACTTGGTAAAAACATGTGACATGACTAAATATGGTAATGATGACATCACATCATGCCCATATATAGGTACATCATGACTATATATGGGCATACAACAGGTTTTTTTTCAAAGAAAATTTGATAGTGTGGACAGAGGTTTTACCTCGGCTGATGGATTTGAAAATAAAATTATTACTATAAAGCAAAATATTTCGTAAGAAAACTGACAACAAAATTAATCTTTCGGTATCAAAATTCTTTTTATTTACCCATTTTTTAAAATGTACACACAAATTTTGGATAGCGACCATTAAGAAGACGTCGAATGAACAACACACAGAGACGAAGCATGACCAACATCGCAGACCATGAACAAGGTATCAGTTTCAGGATCTTATTGGAGTCATTGTATTTCCTGCACTATTACTAATTAAACGAACTGATAAAAAAATATTTACACCACAAACATTAATTGAATATCCTATGGTCTAACACCACTAGATATCTGTTTAAACTTATATGGTTAAATTCTATAATCCAGACACTTAAGGCAGCAGACAGTGGAGGGTAAAGGCATGGTGCACACTGCACCGTCTTATCTTTTTGTGAACTTATGTTTCGCGCAACCATCCACCATTGGTGGTAGTTTGAGCGAATAATCTGTAGCAATCTCATGAAAACATGACAGCTACCAACACCCTGTGCAGTGTGTGCCAAAAAAGAAAGCCCTTGGCAACAGTATCTGTGCATCTTACTTTAAATTGCTTAAAAAAAAGATGCCATCTTCACCAACGGATTGAATTAATCCCCCTTTATCAGATTTAGATTATCTAATATTAGATGGAGCTGACCACGGAGGTTTATACCTCCATGATCTGACCAACCAATACGCGTTGTCAGACCTAACATATGCTTAAATATTAGACACCATAGCCGTTGCCGACATTAGATTATCTATGGATTTCACCTGGTCACGGAGCTATAGTTGCTGTTGGATTGGTATTACCAAAATGCATGCAGGCTCCAAAATTGGGATTACCTAATGTTAGCTGAAGTTGTTCAGCCTAATGAAGTTGTCAGATTGGAATTATGTACTGTTAGATGTATCTGATCAACCAATATGCATTAATAGGTACGGACTTCCTAATGTTACATAGATTCTGACAAACTAAAAAGCATTACCACATATTTTTATATTTCTTATGTGTATCTGGAAACAAAATTTTCTTAATGTAGACTAATCTAAAAACCTGATATAATTTTAAATTCATGACATGACAGAAGTATTAAAAAACAATATAAACATTTCTTGTATCCAATGTAAATGTAAATTCTAAAATTAAATATTTTGTAATAAAAAGTCTTTCAATGTTGACATTATAAAATACAAATAATTTTGCCATTATCATATTTTGTTAGTTGCCATAGCAATAGATACTGTCATATAATACATATCTTAAAAAATGGTTGACTACAGTATTTGATTGATTATCACCAGTATTCCAAGAAAATAATTTGCGTATAACTTGAAAATGTGTGCAAATATCTTTGCTTCATATAAAACATAAATTTGTACCCTTCAATTTGCAATATATAAAATCTCAAGTCACCATGAAATAGCATCCTAAAGGAATTACACAAAGGCATTTGAACTACTCTGAAATGAGAACTTCCAAAAATTCATAAAAAAATTAAATTCAAACAGAGACAATTATTACCAGTTACCAGTAGAATGGTCAGTAGTGTATCTAGAAGTCTTGCAATGACAGGGGTGCGCAAAGGTGAAGTGTTGGAGGGGAGGGGGGCTCGATAATTGGTTGAGGGGTGATAATTCACAAAATAAGTCGATTTTAGGCGATCTTTAACTATTTTATCATGATTTTTGGGGGCGACAAGTAATTTTTGGAGGGGCATGTGCCCCCTGCGCAGCCCCCTAGATACACCACTGAGAATGAGACTCATTCTGTTCCCAATGAGTTATTAAAATAAAATTATCTTATAGAAATCTTGATAAAAAATATCAGTGTGATTTATTTCACATGCCATATTAAGCTTTATTCTTTAACAATTACATATTCTTATTCCATACTTTGCAGAGAAAAAAAAAGTGCTTTCAACTAGTTATTTTGCCTTGAAAAAAATGTTGAAAAATTACAATCACATTTATGTACTGTAATTTTATTTCATTATCTGTAGTATTTAATATAAATTTATATTTCTTTACTGGCAAATTCATTATTTTTCTTTAGCTACAACTATTACTTTCGGTAAGTAGTACAGTAATGTTCGAATCAATATACAATTCAAAGCTAAAACATTTTGGCGGGAAAAAAATTTGATGCTAAAAATAATATTCAAGCCTACTCTGCTTCTATCTGATAATATATGTATATTTACATATATATATTTATATTTAGTTAAATATCTACAATGTTTGTTATTTGACATTACACCAAAAGTAAACAATAATAAACAATAAGATAAAACCAATAAATTGAATAAATAGTCCAACAAAATAAATAGTTTTTGACTATAATTCTTCATATATATATATATTTATATTTAATGTATAAATATATATATAATATATGTATATTACATATATAATATATATGTATAATATATATGTGTTAAAATATACATGTATGCATTACATATATAAGATACATAAAATAATAAATATGTATAAGTAAAAAACATTACACACTGCATATACAAACAAAATTAAGTAATTAATATATACTTAATTATTATTGAATGTACATACGTTTACGAATTACATACATATCATATATAAACCATGTATATGAATGTAACAATGATATATATATATATATATATGTATAAACATAATCATTTATGTTTATATAATATATACATAATATATCTTATAATAAATTATGTCCATCTTAAAAGGAATCAAATTAGACCGAGTAAACCAGCAGCAGCTTGCATCCTTGATATTTACAACACTGTGACATTATGAAAACATTATGATGGCAATATCTCAACGGTACCAGAGGAATGGGCGTTGAAAATCGCTAGAAAGTGTGTCTGTGCTTAACACAATGACACGACGCAGGCACGGAGAAATAGATTATTCATAAATTTCTTGGGACATTCATTGCTGTATTCTAGTCATGACAACATTAGCTCAATATTTAACCCAACATTTTGTTTTTTCCTAATAATATTCTATATTACTTTTACAGCATCATTGGAAAGACAGTGGTTTAGGAATAAAATGTGAAAATTGATTTGTTCCATGGATGAATTCCATAAAATGGAGATTCATACTTCAAATCCTCCAATTATCATTTATGGTACCCATAAACTATCTTCAAAAAAGATAATATTTTCCCAACTTTCTCTGGGATACAATATTTTTTTAACAAACGACAGTAAGAGTTTAAAATATCCCATCACCATGTATGGACCAATCAATATAATAATTCATAATGGAGATTCTCCCATTATCATGTAACGTAAACAGCGATGCAAAAACACCTCGCACCATTTGGAATGGAGAAGCATCTAATATCCTTGAAGCATTTGTTCAAATCTCAACTGATCACATTCATCAATTTGAATCGGAAGGCAAGATAAACCAAAGGCCAGGAGCTGGATTGCTCCGATGACTCACACTTTCGCCGAAGTGACTTCACCGTGTACCAGTTACCCTCACTGTAACTTCACTGTCTCTTAGCAACAATCTCGATTGACATACGTATCTTGGCATTTATTCTTGACATTCGTTTGACTTCCTATCTGGTTTTTTATTTCCAGATTAAGATCTAATGTACTGTTGATACATGGGTTGACCTAGCCTACAGAGGGCGCACTAGCAATCAATATCAGATTGTGTAATAGCATTTAAGTCTTTCATAAGTCCCTCAAGATTCAACATCTCTGCATTTAAATCCTCAGTGCTGAATGATCTTGCTGTGCTGGACTACAAAGAGAGAGAAAAATATGTTATGAGTATTTTTAAATTTTAATTTTATTCTCACCTGCAAGTGAATAACCAGTTTTTGAGGTACTGTTAAACTAGGTCCCCAATATGAGGCTTAGGGTAAAGTGGTTTCTAGTCCAAAGACAAAAAATCCTGGTTTTTGCTGGGATGTTACTATAGGGTGTATCAACATAGTACAAATAATATTATCCTGGTAATGCTTAACTGATAGATCTGTCAGAGACTTTTGGCAAAAAAAGTGCAAGTATATATCCTTATCTCATCCTTAGGCACTGTTAATTTATCCTATGCCACTCGGTCTCTGTTGTGAGCTAGGCATGTCTCAAGGTTGTGATTGATGTTCACTAATTCTTTTAGGTCTTCTTAAAGCCAGTAAGTTCGGTATTCCTTGTTGTTTCTTATATATCTATTATTTTAAATTCATTTTTTCATTTACATTTTTAAAAGGGGATGAAAAAATCTCAGTTTTCTATGGTGCCCTGATACCAATTACACATTATCTTTATAGGCCTTGCAAAGATATGTGGACCATGCTCTTGTATTGTCTATAAAATATCTCATTAGTGATTGAGTTGAAAAACAGTAACAAGGACATTTCACATTTAATCTTTTATTCATCCAACTGCCTCCCGTACGGTACCTTCTTCCCCTCCCTATCAACATGAAAATGACTTACCCCGGGACTTGCAGCTTCTACTGTTCTATAAGTAACATCAGGGGCCCTCGGTGTTACTACTGGAAGAGGGTGTGATCGATTGCGATTAACTGCTTGCTGTTGACGTTTCAACAAGCTGTAGCTTGGTGCACTTATTTTTACTGCAAAAGAGAAATCATCAAGTTTAATAGCTAAAGACATATTGTAATTTTCACCAAGTTTATAAGGAAAATAAATTAGCCTACAAAATATCAGAAGCAACCTCCCTTTGGACATACAAAATATCCTGGACATGGTTCCCCAGGGGTCTGGCAGACTTACTGTAGACACAACAGTTACAAGAAAATTACATTAACATGTCATACACAATAGTTCTCCAGAGAAAATCAAGTGATATGTATTATACTAGATACAACAAAATACAACCCTTAGCAAGTTATCACAGCTTCAAATAACCTTATAGCAGATCACAGACAATGGATTAGGCAGTAGTAAGTCCTACTTGATCCACTTCCTTGGGAAACCCAGATAAATGCTGTACCCCAAACATATGGAACATCTTAGAATGAAGCTCCCCTGGGCCTACAGCATAATTATACAAGGGAAGCATCTTTTGGTTAACAAAAAAGTGAACAATTTCACAAACTGATGACTTACCTCTAGGCTGGGCAGGTGGAGATTTTGGCAAAGTGCCATAGTGTGGTGGTGGACCAGGTACACTAAAACTAGAAAGTGGATGAGTAGAAACATGTGGAGTTGGAGGCTGGTGTGCATTGCTCTCATCTTGAGACAAATTTGATTCACTCTGATAACCTGAAAACATCAATCAACAGGGAAAAACAGTCAAAAAAAGATGTTAATTCAAAGTGGGGTAAACATTTTGGGCAGTATGGAATGATATAACATGAAAGGATTGTAGGATAAATAGGTGTAGTTTTATTAAAGGGGCAAATACATACTGCAGAAGAGTTATTATGCATGGGTCAGTAATTTGAAGGGTCAATAGGACTGTAAATGACCATTAATTGCTAAAATCTCCCAAGTTGAATGGCCAATATGACTTTATTTGAGAGGCAACCTATGTAGGTCTATTTTTAGGAAAAAAAACCCCGCAAAATTATTGGATGGATTGCAGACAAAAAGTTAAGAAGACCCTCATTAACACACTGAAACATTGAACTACAGGACAATTTTTAACAATATAAAATGGATACTGAAGGGTTATACTAGTTGTATGCCATTAAATCTAAATATTCCAACATACAGTAAGAAATTTAATTAATACAGAGTATCATCATCACCCATTCTGTACACCAGTGTACTATTTACGCCACCTCACACAAACACACAATACAGCTTTTCACCCCCAAATTAAGGAAACATTGTAGGCCTACACTATCACCACAACCAAACAGATATACCTACACCACCAGTGCCACCACCAAACCAGGGTATAATAACACTGCACACCACCAACATATCACCAATACCGAGAACACAAAAAGTACCACAACCTGTTTATGTTGGTCTGTGGGGGTTTTTTTTTTTCAAATATCAACAGCATAAAAAAACACTCACTAAACACTTATAAAATAAAAGATGTTTTTTTTTACAGTTTCAAATAGTTCTAACAATCTTTCTTTGCAATTAAGGCAAGACTTTTTTCATACCTTGTTTAGCAAACCCACCAACTGCAAATATTGATTTCAAATAAAAATAACATTTTATTTTTGCACAATTTGCGCACCCGCTGCCAAGAAAAAGTGGAAATTTCAGAAAAAAATAAAGTTTTTCTTTTATTCCGCCCTTCGCTGCCTTGAAATCGGCAAAGATAAAATGTGTATATTTCTTCCTAGTTATATAAATTTGAAGCATTTAACCATCCTATTTTACATTTACCAATAAATTTTTATTTTCTCCTCCGTCTGGATGATTTTAGCAAAACTATTTGCTAAATAAAAAAACAAAATTTTATTTTTATTTTTAGTCCTCCCTCCTCTGACAATCTTTAAAAAAATAAGTACATAAAAAAAGGAATAAAAAGAGTCTCGCCTAAACAAAAACATTAGAGAATTTAATCTGTGCAGATAAAGTACAACAAACTGTGAGGACGTTGGCAAACAAAATAAAAGTACCAGTAAGAATCAAATGTATGGCAGGCAAGTAAAATGATTGGCAAGTCATTATTATCATGAATTTCAAAACTTAAAATGGATCTCCATTTTGGTTATTGTCATTTGATAGCATGACGACCTAGGACATAATAATGTTGCGTAGTGTCATTTGCATATGCAAAGACTTTTAGTTCTTGTTGTCATCTGAATTCTAAGATGCGGTTTGGGTTAAATGCAGGACGTTCATGGATGAGTGAATCTGTCCTTACACTGTTCATGATTGAAAAAGTTTCTTTTATTCCAAAACCTATCCTGATAAATATGAAATTTTTGATAATGTTATTTTGCAATTAAGGCAAGATTTTTTTCATACCTTGTTTAGCAAACCCACCAACTGCAAATATTGATTTCAAATAAAAATAACATTTTATTTTTGCACAATTAGCGCACCCGCTGCCAAGAAAAAGTGGAAATTTCAGAAAAAAATAAAGTTTTTCTTTTATTCCGCCCTTCGCTGCCTTGAAATCGGCAAAGATAAAATGTGTATATTTCTTCCTAGTTATATAAATTTGAAGCATTTAACCATCCTAT